TAATAATAATAATAATAATAATAATAATAATAATAATAATAATAATAATAATAATAATAAGCCATCGGTCAGGTGCTTAAAAGAATGCAAGTAAGAATGAGATACATACAGAAAAGAAGAGGAAGATAGGACAGCCTCTAGGATCTCCTGCTGCTATTTTCTGTGCACATTCATACGCAGCATAAAGCTTTTTGTTTCCGTTGGGTGTAGATGACCAAACGTTGTACTTTATGCTCTTGTGCACATCATCCTCACTGTAAGACTTGATCACAAAGAACTTCGCATTTTTGTACTCGACCGGGAAATCTTCTTTGTTATAGTCGTCTGGAAATATAGTGATGTTTCCATGTGCATCGGGATTTCCAGCCCTTGTCGTGAGAGCACTAACAACCAACTGAGTCTCCCGTTTGTTTGGTCTTGGCCCTCGATTATGCTCAACTAATGTACCATGCCCGACTCTTTCGTCATCACAGACACCGCCATAAGGTATCTTGGGCTTAACTTTATGTACAGAGCCTGTCTCGGGATCCCTTGATTCCAAACCAGATAATCCGTTGGCAGAAGTAAATGCACTCTTTATTTGACTACCAACCCATGAAGCAGCCTTCACATGCACACCAGTTTCTGTGCCTTGAGAACCTCTAACCTACAAGACAATATATCAAAAAAAAAGGACACGCTCAGCAAATATAAGACAAAAATTTGCAAATGTGCACAGTCAATTAAAAGATTCTTACCTGGCCAATCTGGGATGATGGTTGACTAGTCAGCTTGTCAGAAGTTCTCGGCACAACTTGCTTGCTTGATGCAGTATTATTAGCTCTTTGCCCTTCAGATGTCATCCGGACAGATGCATCCTGCCCTAAGGTCATTGAAGCATTAGGAGCATTTGAACGCAAATTGCGTTTAAAACCAATACCATCAGCTTTATTGATTGGTATGCCATTTTCAATAAACGAATTGGGCATCCTGTTAGCATCAGCCCTTGACTGCAGAACAATAGGAGCATATGCAGGCGATGGTACAGGGTTTTCATAGGATGGGACAGCATAATACTGTTGAGGAGCTACAGTGGATCCTTCAACTCCTACCATAGCACCAGGAATATAAGGATTGTATGGGTTATAATGGTACTGTCCATATCCATACCCTTGGGTCGCATAACACATGTATGGAAGACCTTCATTTATTGCCCCCTACAAGAAAAGATTCTAATTTAATATCCTAAATCAGATACCCGTTGAATATAAAAAAAATAAATAAATAAAATAAAATAAAATAAAATAAAATAAAAAAAAAAAAAAACTCATTGGAGATAGGACTCACAGTGTAATGAATTTCTTGACCATCCAGACCGAATCTGCTATGGGGGTCTTCCCAGGTACCTGCTGATTCAAATCCTACCAACGACAGAAGGCAGATCATTTCAGCTAATATTAATATTGACAATAATGACCCAGCTCATAAGCTTAAAATGCATTTAACACTAACTTCAATGAGTAGAACATTATATTACCTGTACTGAGATATCCATAGTTGGCAGCAGTAGGATAATATAATCCTTGATCAATAAGATACTCCGGGATTACTTCGTTATACATGGCTTCAAATTGTTCAAATTGACCAGGAAACTGTAGCTTTGACTCAATTCCTTGAATCTGGAAAAATCTAAAACACCCTCTCAATATAAATACAATGAAATTGTATAGGAGAAGCAATTTGCACAATATTATTAACACAAGTCCACCACCAGATTATATGAACAGGCAGCAAAACCAGACAAACACCAACCAAGTCCATGCAAAGAAACTCAAGGTGCAACTGATGAAAAGGTACGCTAAAGCATCGAGCTATTGAAGAAAATTACCAGATACATATCAGCAAGTCCTTGATCAGGAAAGTTGGAAGATTCCATCCCAGGACTTGCCAACCCTACAGAGATGGGGTTACTTAAATGAAGGTCGAGCATGGCAGGAAAACAGTCGCATATCTAAAATGATATTCGAGCTGGATTTACAGATTTACTTATGATATCAATTGCACCACTTAGATTCAAAAAATTGAGTACTCTAGAATCATAATTTGCGAAAGAAGGTTCTAAGTTTGCGTTACATATCGTGTAATGGAAGTGCTTTGTATTATGAATATCTAAGGTTAATCCCTAATTACCACATAGTTTTGTGAACTTGGCTATTTCAATAACTCAATCAAAATACAATAGCTCATTACAGATTACAGATGCCCTATTATAAACAAAAATATCATTATCAAAGAACAAATATCCTGCACCGTTCGTGTAACACATACAACAGTGAAGAACGTTCTGCCGGAGCAGCATCAATCAAGAATGCAAGATAACCCATAGAACACCACAAAAAATCAAGTTTTGTTTCAAAATCACTTCAACAAGACGAAAATGAACGAAAACAAGAAAAATAACTCATCCAATCCTCACAACATCATCCAGTCAAGCAACAAAAATTCCCGGAAAACAGATCACCATACCACTCAAAACTGAAGCCCAATCACGATTTTGACATAACAAACACGACACGAATACTCCAAGAACAAAGAGAACTCTAGAACCATCTGGGCTCACCTAATAAAATATATTGGCAAACGCGAGAGCGCGCACACAGAAGGAAAACAAAAGGATCAAAAGGAAGAGAAGAGTACCCCCCCAATAACAAATACGAGCAGAATCAAGACATGGTTGACCCAGAAAGCAAGCAGCTGAAAGATCAAAACTTTGAATGTCGGCGAATCGAATTCCTGACCAACGAATACTATATTAAATTCGTCGATTCGGGTAGCGATTTTCTGCAATAAATTCGATATTATCTTTCCCCAAATCAGACGCGGTTAAGCAAAAGAAAACCCTAGAGGGAGCGGGAGAGTGAAAATGGAAAAAAAAAAAAAA